TGAAATTCTTAGAAATAAAATTTATTAATAAAAAAATTTTCATGTTTAGAATATATACAAAAATTGAAAATTCATTTGCTTCTTTATTTCCTAAAATACCTTTAGAATTAATAATTTTAGAAGGCTAGGAATGTGGATAGTCTGTCATAAAACTTTGAGTTATTTAAGTTTGTTGAATTATTTGAAAATTTTATCCTTTTTTTATAGAATGTGATTTAATTATATTGAAATCCATACAATCGAATTTAAAGATTTAAATTTTTATTTTTTTATATCAAACACAAAAATTTGAATTTATTATTCCAAATGAAGGTTTAATTTATCTAGCTTTATTTGTTAAAAAAGCTCAATATTAAGCGAACAAATTTTCAATTATATATATATATATATATATAAAAGGAAAAATCAGAAATGTGAAATCTTGTTAACGATAATCTGAAAAAAATTAAAAATATTGTATTTTAAATTTAACCTCAATACATCAATACTAATCTAGTAGTAAATGCTAGGGATGGCAAAATCAGCCCAACTCGAGTCAAACCTGAATTTTATGGTTTTGACTAGGTTTGAGTAAGGTATGGGTAAAACGTGAAAGTTTTATTTTGGGTATGGGTAGGATATGAGTATTACAATTATAAACTCAAATCTGATCCTGTATTGAAAAAGATATAAAAAGTTCAGTATTTTTTTAAAATTATAGTATGGAACTTTTAATAAATTACGTTACTTGGAGTAAATATATACACACCGTACTAAGACTATCCTAAAATTAAGGAGATGAAAAGGTTGTTTATTAAAAAAATTAAAGTTAATTAATTAAATTAATGGTGCTGCCAACTGCTATCAACACAAATGAATAATCTGTAATTAATAAGATTAACTTTTTGTATTATGGATAGCCTAATCATCCCCAATGAACTTAATTATATAATATATATATATATAGGACACATTGAATCTTATCTCTTCTACCAAAAATTATAATTTATTGCTTGTAATTTTTCAATGTCTGCAATTGTGTTCACATTATTCATTTAATTTGATAATAAGAAGATTTTTTTATTTCTTTTACCCGCACTGTAATTTAATTAGTGAAAAAAAAATATATATGAGAAAAGAATATCAGAAATGAAATTACTTACTTACTCAAAAAAAAAATTATTGTATGAATTGACCTCTAAAAAAATGTGCTAATTAAATTAACTATTCCTGATTAGTTAAAATAAATTTTTTTATTACCAAATAAAAAAAAAAGTCAAAGAATAAGAGGGCATGAAGAAAATAATAATAATAAATAAATAATGGGAAGAATAATTAAAATGTTATCCAATTCACATAATTTGAAAATCAAACGGCATGTAGTTGACTCGAAATGGATTTTCAAACTCCAATTTGTGTGTAAACAAATAAATATATAGAGACAAAACCGTGTTCCCATTTTATCTCTTGTTTCATTTTCTTGTTGTGTATGGAAATTTTTTTTTTTGTTTTAATAAACATTTAGTTGTCTAAAAAGGACATCTCAAGCAACATTGGGACAAATCAATTGACCGATTGATTCATTTCTAAACAATCTTATCATTTTTTTTTTCTCTCTCTCCTCAAAATGAATAGTATTTTGTAGTTAGTGTTCGGATAAAATGAGTTGAGTCGATTCTGAACATAATTAAAATGTATTTAAACTCTAGCTGGATTCATTTATAATTTTTAGTTAAGTTTCTTTTTTTTTCCAATAATTTTCAATTTTAAACTCTAAATTGAATCGAGTTTGAGTAAATAAACTCGAGATTGATTTATTAAACTTCTGAAATAAACTTTTCTGACTGAGAGTTTCAAGCAAGATTTAGCTCATGTATAATAACAACGATTTTAATAGTTTCAAGCAAGATTTAGCTCATGTATAATAACAACGATTTTAATCTTGCAAGTAAAGTTCACCGTAGCGACCTTTTAAATATAATTTAGTAAAAAAGAAAAAAAAAAAAAGAAAACCTACAAAAATTAAAGAAAGACTTTTCATTTTTCAGCCGTAGAAAAAGTGTTAATGATTAACCATAAAGTATGAAAAATGAAAGGAAAAGACCCATTTCTATATATATATATATGGAGAAATTTCAAAAAGTTAGGAATAAAGAGTTTATTTAGAAGGGCATTGGATCCGGTGCATAATCCTCAATTACTCTATTATTATTTCCCTTTGTTTTGAGCATCTCTACATGTGTTTTTCAAATGTTAATTTGTTTTTATTAGTTTATAATAATTACTTTTGAATCATTGAATGGATATTTAAAATTCAATTTTAAAAAATTGTATACATTTGAATTCAACTCTATCTTCATTTGAAAATGTATATAAACCCAAAAAGAACCCTAATTGCAATAAAATAGACTAAATTACAATTATTTATTTAAATATTAATAAAAGAAAATGACCCAAAATTAATTTCTAATGAGTAATTTACCATAAAATGCAGAACCTATTTACACCTATTTCTTCTGTGAACCAAAAAAAAAAAAACGGTCCAGATTAATGGATCCATAGGCCCAACTATCCAAACAATACGTTCAGAAGTTAGATCTAAACATATTGAGATACTCTTAAACTGTTATATGTATGTATATATTAACTTTTTTTTTTTTTTTAATACTTGCACGAAGTAGGCATTACCACGGTTTCAGAACGCTGGTTTCCATATTGAGATACTCTTAAATTGTTATATGTATGTATATATTAACTTTTTTTTTTAATGCTTGCACGAGGTAGGCATTACCACGGTTTCAGAATGCTGGTTTCGGTTCTAAAATCGTGGATTTCGGTTTCAAAAAAGTAGAATCAAAATCGAACTGAACAACTTTTAGACGGTTTTAAAATTGTCGGTTCTGGTTCGGTTCCAATTTGGAGCTGAATTTAGATAACTTTTTTTTAACCTTTTTATTAGTTTTTTTTAGCTAAATAAGAAAATAATAACAAATAATAGTACTTAAATTAAAAAAAAGACCCCTAAAAGCAGTAAAATTAATTAGTTTCTAAAGATTTAAAAAATTTACTAACTACACAGAAACATAAATTTAAAATTCTTTACAAAAGAGTAAATTAATAGTTTTAAAATTTAAAAATTTATAACTACACAAAACATAAATTTAAAATTCTTTACTAGTATTTAATTTTTATAAATTTAAATTGAGAGACATGTCAAAAAAAAAAAAAAAGGACTTGTACTTAATTTATATGAGAAGAAAAGAAATGATAGAAGAAATTCAATGGAGTTTAGCAAAAAAATTGATATTGTGAAAAAAAAAAGATTATTAAGGTATTTATAGTTCACATATAAATTTTTATTTATAAAAATAAATTTCAAATTTTCCGTTTGTTTACCGTTATAAAGGATAAAAATGTCCTTTAATTTTATTTAACAATTAACAAAAAATTATCATAAATGAATTTTTTATTTCAAAGTATACTTTTCAAGTAACCTTTTTTAACCGTTATAAAGGGGCAAAACGTTTTTCTATCTAAATTAGGACTTAAAAAAATTACAATATAAATTTTTATTTCAAAAATACCCTTCAAATTGCTGTTTTTTTACCGTTGTAAGGGAGAAAAATATTTTTTTATTTTATTTAAGAGTCAAAAATAAATCTTAAATAAATATTGTTTAATTTATATGTAAAAAATCTATGTTATAAAGGGTAAAAGATTTAAATTAAAAATATTTAAATGAGGAGCAATTTTTTTTTTCTCTTTTTCAACTTATAATTTACAAGTTATATTTATATTAATAAATTTTAAGATGATGGTAAAGTTACTACATTTAATAATGAAAAATAAAATTAATTTAACAATTAAAAAGCATGTGTGAAGCGTGAACCGGAACCACCGGTTTTTATTTTCAAATATAAAGAACCGCAACCGAACCTTAAACTGCCGATTTCGGTTATGGTTTAGAACCTTAAACGGTTGATCACGATTCGGTTCCGATTTAGAACCGAACTGTGGTTATGCCTGGCACGAGGTATCCAGGCCTGTGTCCTTTTAAGGGTTCACAAATTTGATTAATCCCCGCTCACCCTTAGAAGTAAAGGGGCTGACCCAGGAAGAGTTTGCGTTACGAGGACCGAACCCATAACTTAAGCCATGATGATTAATCCTGTAAGTGCTTTTTATCTCCGAACTACCCAATTCAGATTACATATATATTAACTAGTAAATTTAAAAAGTTAATTGCTAAATTTGAAAATTTCTTTTTATAAAATAAGAATGAAATCAAAGGCTAGCTAACAACATCATGGGAATAAGCAGCATCCGAATTATCAGGGGTGGAGCTCCATAAGTAAGGGTGGCCACGGTTTCGGAACCGGAACCGAACCGAAAATTTCTAATTCTGATTCCGGTTTCGGTTCATCGACGGTTTCAAAACCGACGGTTCCGATCAGTTTTCCGGCAAATCGCATAATTTTAAATTTTAAATTTTGAACACCGGTTTTCAAAATTTAAAAAATTTGTGAAAGTTATTTCTAAAAAAAATACACCTAAAAAATTAAAAAAAATGCTTCAATTAAATTTATTTTTTTAAAGACTTGAACTTATTTATTTTTTTAAAAAAAAAGTCTTCAATTGAATTTATTTTTTGTTTATTTTTTACAAGACTTTGGAACTTATGTTATTTTTTTAAAAAAAAAGTTCTTCAATTGAATTTATTTTTTGGTTTAAACAAGTTTGAAACTATTTTTTTTTTTAGAACAAAGGCTTGAAATTAATTTAAAAAAAAAAAAAAAAATTAAAGTTGTCCCTGCGTATCCTCTTAGGGGTTTTAGAGGATCAAAAAGCCCACTAATTTCTTACTTACCTTATACAAATTTCAAAATCCCCTTTTACCTTATTCGCTTAATTTGCCACTACCTGGTTGATTGGTTCCGTTGAAAGGACCATCATATAAGAATTATATAAATCTTTTATTTTCTTTTGATTTTCATTATGGCTTGTTAACGTTCGGCCTTGCTTCAATCATCACACATGATTGTGCTTCTAATGAATGCGGGTGTCATACGGGATCGTGTTTCATCAAGTATGAAATTCCTCTTTGGACTAAAAGCTTGTTCAAGGCGCGCAACAGTGGAGATCGGAGGCTTGCTAAAAACCTTGTTTTTGCAATTAAAGAAAGCTATTGGAACAGTATTGGCGTGAAGGACTCCACCAATCTACAAATTGGAAAATTAGTATCTGATAATCATCACCAAACTCAAAGAAGTAAGTTAGATAATTTCAAATTCAGAAAAAGAACTGGAGTTCCCCTTGGTTCTTTTTTGGTTTTTGTAGTAAAACCTGTTTCAGCAAGCACCAACACACTTCCCCTAGAACCGGATTCCCTTGGTCTTTTTTGTCTTTGTAGTAAAATGCGTTCAGCAACACCAACACTTACCCTTTGAGTTGGAAATTGTTGATTATTGAATTGAAAAAAATTAGAAGTAGATGAACTAGAAAATTGAATAAATTCACTATATAATTCTACAATATTTTGTCTAACTTCATACAATACTACATTTATATTAACACTATCTTCTATATCAAGATTTAATAATTCATAACAAATAGTCAAATATTCAGATAAAACTTCAATTTTACATCCAGGATCAAATACACAAGCAACAAGATAAATGGGTAGTATATTTTTAGAATAAGATAACCATTTTTTTTCATTGAAAAAACACAATCTTGTAATATAAAATTATTTTCAAGTTCTTGGAATGCACTAACAATATTAATGCATATAGGCAAAAATAATACACAAAGGTAAAAATAATGAAATGTGGGATAATAACCGCCACTAAATTTATAGGTAAGCAGATTAAAAATATTTGAAAATTAATCTTAAAATTTTTGCCACAAATATTCCGAATTTTGTGGATATAAATTAATATCTTCACTTTATTTAGGGTATACCAAAAAAGCATAAAATAATTCTTTATAAGAAAAAGAACTCGTTTAATAATTCATATGTTGAATTCCAAACGAGTTGGGACATATTCCTTTGGAAAATATTTTGGTCTTTTATTATTTTCCTTACAAAATTTAGCCGCCACTTTCATCACTGATGGGGATGTCCCATAAAATCTGAAATCAAGCTTTTTTAATTTGGAGAAATAAAAGATTCAAGAATTTTTAAACCATCTTGTACATATAAATTTAAAACAATGGCAATGCACATCTTTATGAAAAAATTTTCCACCAATATTTTGGCTTCACAAAATATTTTTTAAGTTCAATACATTGATTTAGTATTAGCAGAAGCAATTATCAAATGAAGAATTGGAATGATGAAAATTTTTTTTTGTCAAACTTGTATGCATCTAAACATTGAAACAATTATCTATAAATATTCTTTTTGTAGTAAATGGTTTTATCAAATCAAAGCACGAAAATGCAATAATATCTTTTTGAAAGTTTCCCAATCAAATGCATCAATCTAATGACTGTAATGCCCATACTAAGATGCATGTTTGCCCATGATACTCCAAATATCACACAAATTGAACATGAATTTCAATTTGAGAAATAAAAGGCTCTAACCTCTTTTTTTCCTTTATTATACCTTTATTATATAAAGAAATAATAGTTCGTTTTACAGTATTTCTTGGCACTCTTTTAGCAGAAGGATTTAAAGCTTTTTGACAATATTTATTAAGACATACTTTTT